TCCTGGACTCAACTCTGGGTTGTCATAATTTAGGTTGTAAAACAAACTCGTCCAGATTTCTAGATAAAAGAGCTGCACCACCCAAAGTGGGATGGATGCCGTCTCTGCTAATCAGACCAGGTTTTCCCCAAAATGTTTTCCAGTTGTCTATGAAGCCCACGTTATTTTCTGGGCACCACCTAGACAGCCAGCGGTTGAATGACGACATGCGGCTAAACATGTCATCACTGGTCACATTGGGTAGGGGTCCAGAGAAAACTACGGAGTCCGACATTGTTTTAGCGAAGTTACACACCGACTCAACATTAACTGGTTTAACTGGTGACTGGTGTGTCCTGCTGCCGGTCCACCATGTAGAACTGGTGGACCTGGATGTGCTGATACAGCATCGTGTACTTGGAGACCCTCCTCATCTTCGGTAGGATGAAGGTGTTAGTGAAGGAGTCTCTGCTCAGCGAGCTCCGCCCCTCAGCCACCAGGATGCCATTAATGAAGCAAAGACAGAAACTGAAGCAGTTATGGTGGTCGTCATCAAACCTGAGAGACAGATGGTGAAATAGAGAGGCGGGAGCGCACGAGAAAGAGGGAGGCGGGCATTACCTAACAGGGTGAAAACTGCATAGTGTCAGACTGGAAGTCTTTTAGTTTGAACAGTAAGTGTGGGGTATACCTGTGCCAGGCAGGGTCCCACATGGGTCCTTCAGAGAAGCGGTCCAGGTACTGGTCCCACTGAGCCAGCAGGTGAAACATATCGGGTCGGACCAGAGGAACACTGATGCACTGCTCCCACCCACTCTGGTCTCTGCGGACCCCGGTGCGAGTGTAATTATACACAACACCTGCACACAGGTCAATGTTTATTTATCCAGTCTATACAGACGTAGACCGGACCTCTGACCCTGGAGTCCTACCTTTGGTGCTGGAGATGCCAGTGTGTAGATCTGATGTCCCATCAAACTCTCTGAAGATCAAACAGCAGCAAAAACATGCTTTAGACTGTGTAAATTGTAATGAAGGCTGGAGCCAACAGACTGAGTCGGGACTGTCTGTTGTGCAGGCTGGGGGGCCCACCCAGGACTGCTCCACCCCAGTGCTACAACATGCATGTACCTGTGAGTATATGTACTCTCACCTTTATTAGTTACACCGTACAGCTGTGTGCACTTCAGTGCAACACTTTTGCTTTAGCATCTGTTTATGAAGCTCAAAATGTTTCAGTTTTTGGTGAAAATGTCCAATGTATAAATTAAATTATATGTTCATTACTGAGGTGTTAGGTTCAGGCTTAGGAAGGATCCAAAGGCTTGACCTGACAAACACAAAGACTTTCACAAAAAACTACAACTAAACAGTCAAGTCAGGGAGCTACTGTAAATCCTAAACTGAAAACACACAAAACCAGGAATAAACCAAAGTCCAAGATGGCAGAGACCACAGGCGAGGCAAAGG